TTCCCGTCTCAAATCTGGAATTATTAATGAAACACCTCAAAGGAGACTTTGATTTTAATTGAGAAAAAAAAAAATTGTTCTGTGATTCAATGTCACTCTAATCATATAAAATGATTATAAATTATCTTTGAAGTCATAGCACCATTAATTGTCATGTAGCAAAAACATCCTTATAATATTCTTCAGTATTTCATTACCAAGTACATTGTGGTGCCACTTTTAAATAAAGGAAAATGAAAGAAGAAATTATATCTATAAGGTCACACATATCACTGTCAGTCTCTGCTGTAAGGAATTCAAGTTCTGACATAAACCCACTTGGGGTTTGAGTACATAATTGGGGTTTTTTTGTCTTGAATAGGAGTACTCTGGTCAACAAAAATTTGAGATCTGTAGATTTTCATGAAGCTGTTGAAAGTAATGGTCACCACATAACTGTGTCTGCTGGGAAAAATGCAAATTTCTTTGTTTTCATAGATAGCCAGGACTGGAAATCTCTTTTATTGTTCCATTTTTTGTTTTTATTCAGCCTGTGAGATTTCAGGAATTTGCAAAATTTGAACTCCAGCCGCACTCTTCGAGCAGTATCATTACAGTATCCACATCTGGATTCCAGACACTATTAACATGTACTTATTTTTTCAAGATGATATTTCCTCTATGTACAGCACTGTTCGCTGCCTAATTGTAGACAATTTATTAACCATATGGAATAAAGTGATAACTTTGTTTTTCAGTAAGGTTTACTTTATTGATATGAAGCGCAGAGATACTCTAATCATCCAGTCCAACCATTAACCTAACATTACCAAGTCCACCACTAAACCAATTAAGGGTAGAGTAGCAATTTCATGTTTCCTGGCTTGGTGGCTGGACTATTTATAATGAAAGTAAAAACTAGGAATCATTAAGATTGGAAAGGACCTCTAAGATCATCAGTCCAATCATCAACCCAACACCACCATGCCCACTAAACCATGTCCCAAAGTGCCACATCTACCCGTTTTTTGAACACTTCCAGGGATGGTGACTCCACCACCTCTCTGGGCAGCCTGGTCCAATGCTTGACTACCCTTTCCAGGAAGAAATTTTTCCTAATATCCAATCTAAACCTCCCCTGGAGCAGCTTGAGCCCATTTCCTTTTGTCCTATCACTAGCTACTTGGGAGAAGAGACCAACACGCACCTCACTACAACCTCCTTTCAGGTAGTTGTAGAGAGTGATAAGGTCTCCCCTGAGCCTCCTCTTCTCCAGGCTTAAACAACCCCAGTTCCCTCAGCCGCTCCTCATAAACCCTGTGCTCCAGACCCTTCACCAGCCTTGTTGCCCTTCTCTGGACACGCTCCAGCACCTCAATGTCTTTCTTGTAGTGAGGGGCCCAAAACTGGACACAGTATTCCAGGTGCGGCCTCACCAGCGCCGAGTACAGGGGGACAATCACCTCCCTGCTCCTGCTGGCCACACCATTCCTGATACAAGCCAGGATGCTGTTGGCCTTCTTGGCCACTTGGTCCTGTTCCCTGGTGTACAAGCAGTAAAAAAATCACAAAGCAGCTTCGGATTCTTTTGCACTCCTAAAACAGGAATTTACCAAAGTTTTCACCTCCCTCTTGTCTTGAATATGGGGATTGTTCATGCACCTGTGAATGTGACTGCACCATTTCAGATGTTGTCTTGTACCATAGCTGTAGCCGTACAGCCTTTACTGGTAAGCAAATCATAAACGCAGCAATTTGAAGATATTATTTGGTTGTAGGAAATAGTATTTTGTATTCCAACAAAAAAAAAAAATTGTGAAATGTTCTTTCAAACCCAAATTTTGGAGGAGATCTGTAAATGTATTTTGCTTTATGAAAGTCCTGGTCTGTGTCCTGTGGAAGTATTTCACACCACGCTAGTTTTCTTCAGTTTCTTTCTTTCTGAACAGGTAGAACAATCTAACTTTTTGCTTTCTCAATTTAATTATTTCTGCAAAGAATTCTTAACCCATGTACATACTTCAAGCAAAAATCAGAGGATAAACTATATACATTCTGCTGAAGAGAATGTCTTAAAAGGTGGTGTAATTCTTAGATAGAAGCTTTAATATACAGGCATTGGATATTAATGACCATCTTAACATATTAAATGTAATTACATATAATTGCATGCATTGATTTTTAAGATTAATTTATCTGGATTTTTTTAGGGCTTGAGAGCTCTTGGCCACCATGGAAAAATAAAGGAACTTTCTATATCAGAATGCAAAAACATCAGTGATACTGGGATTCAGGTAAAACTTCACCTCTTTTCTTGATGTTTCCTGGAAGCCTTTCTATTTCTTCAAATTAACCATGTCCAAAACTGATCTTACTTTACTCTGCATGTCATCATTCATTCTTCATTACATCGTTCAACACTCACTCTTACAAATGATTCTCCCCTTTCATTTCTTTCCATTTTTTTTCATTCCTTCCATGAATTTTAATGAGTCTTGAATTTGTCCTCTGCTTGACTCTGAAATTCAGTCCACAAAAGCCTTAATTTCTACTGAATTGTACTGTGAAAATTGCAATCTAAATTGCTGGCAGTATTATTTCTTTTTTGCTCTACAAATCCTTCACCAATTTCTATCTAATCTAAAACATACTTTTCCCATCACTAGTGGGGGCTTTCAGGTCTTGCTTTCTGCTTCTTTAGTCAGTTATTTGTTGAATGACGTATTTAGATGACTTAGCATGCCTAGTTCAATGGAATAGTTGAATTACTTTTAGTCTGTTACACTTGGTTCCTCATGTGCTGCTGATATATTACTACACATCATTATCTCTTAGTGACACAAAAATATGTCTCAATATACCTCTAAAGGCATATTTCTTACCAGCATAAATGGTATGATTACTATGATTAAAAATAGCAAATTATATTTCATTAAGAAATGCATATGCATCTTCTCCAGATTGAATAGATGTCTTAGCTGTTTTATGGGAAAAACAGCACACATTGCACTGTGTCATTGTTTGAATAAGCCCTTTAAAAATCTCCTATGAAAACATCAACTGTGTAATTTATTCACATCTAATGATGAAACTAATCTGCTAGAAAATGGACTAAATGTATTTTAAGCTAGATGTTTGAAATAGTGACTTCTTATTCTAAAGATCTCATCAGGCTCACAGCAAGACATGTATTGAATCTCACTAAACTATTTTTTCCATTGTTTTTCTTTTTTAAATTATTATTATATAAAGTGGTTTTGAAGTTTAAATATTGGATATGGGCAATATAAAGCTAGGTATTGTTCTTAAAATAAAAAGATTAGGTTAAAACATGTATTGTTTAGTGTTCTGATCTCAGACGTAGCCTATGAACTTGGAAATTTCCCAAGGTGAATAACCTTTATAAAGTAATCAGAGAGGAAATGAATTAATTTGTGGAAGGACAACTTACAAATTGAAGTTGCCACAAAGGCAGTTATTTACATTGATGATAAGTTATGAAGTTACACAGTGAGAAAATACTTTCTTTTTTGAATAATCTGCAATTATCATAGAAATATTCATCCTATTACAGTATTTGAATTTCATTTTACAATGCTTATAATTTTTTTTTATATTTCTGATTTACTGACTCTTGCCTTTTTTTAATGAATGTCAACAATGAGACTTGCCATCCAAATATTTATTAGACTTACACTATCATCACAGCAGTAACCACATACCGAATTCTGATTTATTAGTACTCATTGTCTTGTTTTGGTAAAATCAGTTATTTGGTGTTACTGTAATTCTTTTTATGGGTAAAGCACTGCACTGGAAACTGGAAAAGATTCAGGGAGGGTAATAGGGATGATCAGAGGTATGGTACAATCTCCATAAAAGGAATGGATTAAGTAAGCAAGGAACCTGCGGTCTGGAAAGGAGATGGCCAAGGGAATACGACGGAGATCTCTTCAATCGCAAGTGGCATGAAAAGGGTGGATAGGGGTCACTTTTTGCTGTTTACTTCCATACATAATCTAGTGGGCATGAAATGAACCTAGTTTGAAAATTCAGAATGAAGAAAAGGAGATGACTGTTTCCAAAATGTATAGTTAAACTGTGAAATTCCCTGTCACAGGTTGCTTGAGGTTTACCTAAATCTGTATGGAGATTTGACAAATCCAATATGATTGCATAAATTTACTGCTTTGTGTTTCAGAACAATACAAGAAATAAACACTAGTTGGTAACTTTACAGTAGAAAAAAGAACCATCCATCTTGTTAAGAAGGAGAGAGGATTTACATCCAAATAAGAGCACTTTTTTCTGTAACTGAGAACTGTTCCTAACCATATGTAACAGAAATGCTTAAATCATGTTTTTTAATGGGATCGATTTCATGCCCATAAACAGTTGCACTTCGTAAGGCTGCAGGTACAGGCAATGCCATCATGTAATCCCAGTCTTCAGCTTCTACATTTTTTCCATTATAAAGCTCCAGCATCCATCATTTTATAGCCATATATTGTAAGAATGAGTCAGTTGTTGCTGCACCACAAGGGATGCATCTGGATTGAATCTTGTTACCCAACATACACGTCAGGCCATTAGAATTTGCTTCTTTAGGAATAGTTCTGACTTGCCTTTCATGAATGTTCTGTGTGAAGTTCCGTGTTTTTAATCGAAACAATGACCAAGTATGTACATCTTGTGTACCTCACGGGAAGTTGTGTAGCGCCAGTGCTGCTGCTTTCAGAGGAGAATATTCACTTCTGCATTTGCCATGCTTATGGCTAAGAAGCTATTTCAGTTGTCTCGCTACATAAAGTTCCAACAAAGACTGTGAAAAAAGAAGTGTTTATGCCTTCCTTGTCTGCCATATGCATTTGAACTTTTTGAGGAAGAAAGCATCATCAGGGAGTACATGTAGGAGTTACAGAAACCATGTCATGGATCTAGGGAGAGCAGGAGAAAAAAGAGGTAAGGGAGTAACTCAAAACAAAACAGCAAGTCCTTTTTTGTTAGTTGAATCTAAGGATATTAGGGAAAATTTGTAGAGAGTAACCCCATTGCGTGCTGCACATCTTGGTTATCCTTTGATTATATAAAGAATATTGAAATTATGTGAAAACAAAATGCGTTTGAGACCTTTACTAACACCGTTAAAGTAAATTGCTGAAAGTTATAAAATGCCAAAAATAACGTCGACTGTACGGTGTTAATTCATTTACATGTTCCCAGGCATTATAACAGTATGTAAATGCTTATGTGATCACATATTTTATAAATAGGATCTTTGCTCATTCATAACTCAGATGATGCTCACTTAATGAGCAGCAATTTAGTATTTCATTGATGCTTGTGTGTGTCCTCAGGTCTTATTTACACAGAATTTAAATGGTGCAAATAAGTTAGAAAATGATGTTATTTCCTTCATATGGTATTCAATTCTTTGTAGTGTCTGAATGTTTTGCAAACATTATTTATTTTCACAACTGCTTCTGTTATTTCCTTTATAGGCATAGAACCAGGGGTACAGAGATGAAGAGAGCAAACAATGCTCCATTTCCTTTGATTGCAAATATAATTTTAGTGCAATTTGCAAAATAATGTAAGGGTAGACTTAAAGTTATGAGCAATTCAGAACCTAACTTTGAAGGATATTTTAAGTATGTATGCAGATAAACTATGCCAGTAAACAAGATAATTGTATCTCACAGGCACAGAAACCTTGGCTTCAGCTTGTGCTACGTACCCTAGCTGAGAATGTAGTCATGTCATCACATTTGAGGCCTAATTCTGAAGGGAGTGCAGTTTCTCTTACACATGGATAAAAAACATTCAGTTATTTGGTTTATAATATTTCTGTATTGCAGGTTACAGCCTGTAAAGCTAGGACTGAAATAGGAAAGGTACAGGAGTCAATTTTATAAATTCTGAATTATCCACTCTAACCAGTCCTAAGTTAAAGCATTCACATCCTGCTATTTGTAAAATAAAACAAGCCCAAGAAGCACTGCCTTGCTACAGCTATACTGATAGACAGAAAAAAGAAGATAGAGTGAGGATACAGACAAAAAGTACTAAAATTCTGATCTATGAAACAAATTTCAGACTAAATAAGTTTATTTACATCTGTCTAGGTAAGACTTATGAAAATCAGACACAATCACATACTTTTTGGTCATCAAAGAGCTAACATTTACCAGTGATCAGCCATATGTTAGTGCCTGAGTTCCTGTTTTACATAAGGAAAAAATAGCTATGTGTCAAAGGCAATAGTCTGATTACTGTGGAATTTTTTTCAGAATGATAAATATGTAATATTTGTGCATGATAAATACGTGCATTTGTGTGTCTTGGTGTGCATGCATATGTGTTATTTATCCATGTAGCCCTTAGTCTGTCTACCTCAGGACTAATTAATTAAAGTTTTGAAAAGCTTTGGTTTTTTTTTTTTTTCAATCTGCTACATAAGTATTTCCTTCTTTCCCCTATAGAGGTAGAATTTCCAGTCCAGTAAATGACAAATTACACTGGCATTAGGCCAAGATTAGCAGGCCTGGAAGATCAGCTCAGTGGCAAATTTAAGTCATCTCGCCATGGTTCTAGGCTGGACATCATGGAAGTGGAGAGATTCTCACTGAAGCTAAAGCTTTGCTTGAGCCACAAAGTGTTCTGGAATGCTGACATCATGGCAGCATTAGGTGAAGAATATGATTTTAGGTTGTTTGGTTCTTGAGTTAACAGATCTGCAGGCTCTTCAAGAGAAGGTTTCCACAAATACAAATTATGGTCTACCTTCTCCTTCTCTTTGTAGGCCTAGAAGTGATATTTTCAAGTTTGAAAAAGATTCAGGCCAAAAGGTAAACGAAGTTTCAGAGTGCAAAGGAGAAAAGTATATTTTATGAATCTATGTGGCCTTTCATGGGAGTTTCATTGCAAACAATAAATGTGCATAGTATGCCAAAGTTATAACTACCCATGTTTCATGAAAAGCAAAGTTTTATGTGGGATTCTCTGATGCTATTTAAAATACACATTTTTAATGTGCATTTTGCCAAAAATTTTCATTCATATGATCACCTGTCAGAGGTGCAAGTATCAAATGTAAGATACATTAACACGCTGAGTCTGTCAAATTGTCCCTTTGGTCTTTTCAGTTGGCCTTGTAGAAGAGAGCATGGAAAAGGTATCCATATAAAAACTAAAAAACTAATGTAGAAGTTGGAATGTCTTAATAGTAGGAGTAGTAGTAATAATAGTAATAATAATAATAATACCTTACTCCTACTTACACCTATTTATCACTTGCCATCTGCAGGTCACCACAACATGTTTTGTAAACAGGTCTTGCAATTTCATAATGTGTGAAGTTCTCTCCACTCCATTTTATAAGCTGGGAAAGGTCACTGAACAGTTTAGTCTGTTATTTTCCAAAATCATCTGTTTTACAGGGCATATGGAAAAGGTAATAACCTGAGTTACAAAGGTGCTGGAACTGAAGTCAGTAGGATCTGCAGGTGCTTATTTGCTTTAAAAACAGGGATAGAAATTGTAGTTGACAGGTATCACATCAGGAATTACATGGCACTTCAGCCACAGTTAGCTGGCCTGAGCTCCACACAGCAAATCAGAACCCAGAACTCCCGAGTGACAGTCCTCAGATTCTTACCCATTCCTTTCCAAGAAAATAATGTCATTTATACAGATATAGTTGTTTGTTCATTTTTGCAAAAAAAAAGAGAAAAGTTAATATATGCAAAAATGGGCATTTGCAGAGAGTAGAAGAATAAATGTATTTGGGGCTGGTCCTTTAAGCACAAAACTTTAGGTTCTGGGTTATGCTCAATTTAAAGAACCCAAATTCAACATATTTTAATATATACAGTGGAACTTATATGAATGTTAGTCTAATGAACATGTAGCATAATATATAAGCAATGGAAAGTAGCGTCTTAATGCATTTCTTCTTTTTCTAGTGACATTCACAGCCAATGGCTGAATGACTTCACTAGTAATAAAGGGTACCTAGAAAACTGAAATGCCTGCAGTGGATCAAAGGATTGATGTAAATGTATCTTAAATTGAGAACAAATAGAGTAGGCATGTCACCTAAGAATGATTGGTTTGTTTGTCACTCTTTCAGGAGTTCTGCAAGGGCACAAAATCCCTGGAATACTGCCATGTCTCTTACTGCCCTCAGCTGACGGATGAAGCTGTGAAAGCAATGGCATTTCACTGCCACACACTAATATCTGTCAACATAGCGGGTTGCCCAAAGGTATGTATAAGAAATGGGGCAATAGTTCCAGGATTGCCACTGCAAAGAAGTACTTAGTATTTAATTTAGAAATTTGACCTGCTGGCACCTGTGTCTTGTCACAATTCTACAACGTACTCAAGTAATTTAGAAATCAGAGCTTAAGTTCAGCTGACTTTCCATGAGTTTTAAGTTCTGAGACTTGGCTCTTGTGAGTGTTTGGCATTCTTCTAATGGTTGCAGTTACAACACAGAGGTGTCCGTGCTGGTCAGGTAAAAGTTTGTCTGTCCAGGGGTTGATGTCTAGGGAAGGGTGAAGAGAGAAGGGCAAAAGTGATACTTCCTGCAAATAGTCTCTCAGCTTGTGGTGTGTGGGGTTCTTCCAAAGGGTGGTGTCTTTGTTTTAATAACTCTTGGTAATTTCATTCATGGAAAAAGTTGTTTTAGTGTTGCTTCCACAACTATCAAGTGGGAATATACTAAGTTTGTTACTACTTTTGGAAAAGTTCATCTTGAACTATCCTTTAAAATTTCATCGTACTCATTGGACTAGTTTCCCCCTTTTTGCCTGCTGAAGTGCCCATGCCCTGTTCCCTTCCACAGCAAGTCTGCAGCCATCACTTGTTCCTGCCTTCCTCCTCTCCAGCACCCATCTCCATAACCCTTGGCTATCCTTTCAAGCCCTCCACACAGTCCTTGTGTCCTCTTACGCACTGCAGTGGCTGAACACCTTAGCCTCCTGGCCAGCTAGTGTGAGCTGACCCAGCTGACTTGTTAGCCAGCCCCAAATTATATGTATTCTGATTGATTCGTACACCTTCCAAAAGTTCCTAAGTTTCTCAGCCTCTAGGCCAAAACCGACAGGCTGTCTCTCAGATCTGGCAGGCCAAGGAAGTTGCTCTATGTCCTACAATAGCACTGGGTTTGTATCTTACAGATGTCTACAGATACCTACTGTACAGCATTAATTATTATATACATGGGTCTCAATCTCCTGTATCCTTTGGTTTTAGATAGATACTACGCTATTTTTCTATAATAACACTGATGATAGAAGTTGTGCCTGGAGATCTTCCCAAAGTAGTTGAAGTTAGGTAGTTTTGCAAGCAGTCTTCTCTGCCATGCTTTCCACTACACCTTATAGACTAATGCAGGAAAAAAACCCCAAAAAACCCCTATAAAATGGCAGGCTGGAAATTAGGGGAGTTTCTGATTATCAGAGCAATGAATTGTAAAACAGCATCCTGGCAAGGGAGACGGGGGCAAAGTATTAAGGAATGTTAGGATGGCTCTTGATAAAGGAATGAACTGGGTCATGTTTTGTAGTTCCTTCAAATGGGAACAAGAACTAGACTCAGTGACCTAGTAATCCCCTTCCAACGCTTTGTTCCTAGATGGTATCTTCTCTTTAAATGGCTATAAAGCCAATCTGTTAACTGCTAATACCCTACTATTTTCAGAAAAGAACATCAAGACTCTTTCAAATAAACCTACACATAAGTTTACAAGACTTCTTTTGACTTGAATCCAGCTTGCAACTCCATAAAATGAGACGGGTACACCTGTGGATGTTAAAGCTAATGGGTCTTTCAAATCCTTTGGCAATCTCTCGTGTAAATTGAGGGGATCCAGCTGCTAAGTAAGGAAATATTTTCCACTCACAGACTGTTTAAAAATGGTCAGGAGATTAAAGTAAGGATGAACCTGTTCCAAAGGATATATGTTAATATGTCTGACAGTAATGTCCTGCAACATTAGCTATATTATATAAAAAAAGAATTTAGAAAAAAATAGTAGCAAGAGAACATGGAAAAAATCAATATACAAATATATGTCCATTAAGAATGTTTTGGCATGTGCTATGCAGGTTACTCTAAAATTAGAAGAGCTTATCATTTTAATCATATCTTCTGAGGCAAATTAATTGCCTTTGAACAAACCCCACTGGCTTCAGTGAAAGTGCAGTGAGCCTCCCTGTCACATTTCTGTATACCTAGGACAGATACAAGTTCTTTTGCAAATGCCGATACTAAAATATTCAGCAGTGCAGTTCTGAGTCTTACTCAAGGAATGAGCCTGATTCAAGAGTAATTCTTATTTCATAGGAAAAAAAAAATGTAGTTGCTGAGGGAAACATATCCTACACATAAAAAAATATAGCAAGAACTGAAAATAAATCTCTGGTTAAATGAATGAGTGAGCTATTTAAATAGCAAAGTTCTGAAGACACAGTCCAATGGACAATGAATTCTGTAATGCAGTCCTCTACAGGGAAGACAGCCTATGATGAATGTAGATTTCTCTTAAATGCATCTGATACTGATTACTGAGTTTAGTCAGCAACTTTGGTTTATTTCAATAGGAATATTAATCTATTTATTAATATTGTTATCTACTTATTAATCTATTGCAGATCTAATATTGAGCAGATAGCTAAATCTGGAATAAGCAAAGCACAGAATTACCTCTGTATTTCAAGAGGACTGTATCATGAGATAGTGTGCTAATTTTCTGTTCCACAACCCAAGGTCCCAGCTTCACCTTGCCTACTTGTCCCTTTTAGATTTTCATGAGATTGTCTGTTTAATGCAAGTGAAACCCTCATCTCTCTTTCCACCAGCCCACTCTCCTGATTTTAATCAAGTGTCTTTTAAAGGTCTTTAGCATGTTCCCTCTGATTTTTGGTCCTGACTGAACAAGGTAAGTAAAGTACATACATAATTTATTCTTGACTGTTTCCAGTGAGGTCAGTGGAGCAATTAAGTAGCTTGCATGACTGCTTATGTACCTTAAAGACTGTCTCATGTGTTTCTCAAATGTGGCTTCCAGCATTAATGGCAATGAATATCAGTTTAGAAAAATGGAATTGTGAGGTGGAACTAAGCAGCTGTACTTCAGAGCTAAAGAAAAACAACTATACCTTAAAAAGGTCTTGGTGTGAGACACTCATTTGTAATAGAGATTTTGAGAGTTTTGAGATACAAAACTGATATAACTAAACTATAAGTGCAGCCTAATAGTTTAGCGAGAAGAATGCAATAGTAGGTCAGGCTAAAGGCTTATATGTGCTATATGCAAAATTGTGAGGTTGGGAAAGTTAAACCATTCTGATTAGGTGAAAAAAATCCCACAATACTTTAGACTGTACTGAAATCACAGTTAACTAATACCTAATGTGGTCCTGATACTTAAGTGACGGTTACTGTAGAGCCTCTTGCAGAGATTCAGAATTCTTCTGTGCCAGAAATTTTACTTCCATTAAGTATTTTAAAACAGTTTTCCCACAGATCAGACACTAAAATTGTGCTGTGTTTTTTTCTTTCAACTATTCAATAATCTTCTAACTTCTGAGTGTCTTGTTGCTTCATTTACAGATGAGTGATACCTGTATCCAATACTTGGCTGCAGCCTGCCATTATCTCCACTTCTTGGATGTCTCAGGTTGCATTCATCTGACTGACAAAGCACTGAAATATCTTTGGAAAGGTTGTAAACAACTCCAGATTCTCAAGATGCTGTACTGTAGAAATATTACCAAGTAAGAGGATATTTCCTAATCTTAATTCAGAGGTGGTTGTAACCCCCAAAACACCTGGGGTTTTTTTCTTCATTGGCATCATGTTGCCATGCTAGGTATCTGGCTTGAGCCATCTTGCTCCTTTATCTAAGGGGTGTCCACGTTGCTGCCTTAGGATTCCTGTGGCTTGGTGTGGGTATCTACATATTCTAGTGTTGGCCAGAAATGAAGGGAAATAGGGACCCCATCTATCTTTATGGTGGACAATGTCCTGTTAGGGAAATTTCTGCAGACACAGGATAGCACCTCAAGGGCATGTGGGAACATGAGGGAGAAAACCAGACTGGGCCTAATGCTCTCAAGCCATGCACTGTGTGCTTGAGCTCACTCTGAGGGTTGTGGAAGCCTGTTTCCCAATGACTGCATGTCAGTATATGGCAGAAGCAGATTTAGGCATTGATGTGGGCCTGTGCTCAAAATGCGGCATGGTTACAGCAAATGAGTTAAGGTATCACAAGCATAGTTTCATGAAGTACAAGTGAAACATACTTGCTATGTATCTACAATTGGAAAAATCAGGTCATCTACCACAATGTAATCCAACTTCCCTACTGGTGTAAATGGACCCAGCCTCTTGATTCCCCATGGCATTGAAAAGCCAGTCAGTTCTGCTCAGGTTTGGAGCTGAGTTTTCATCTGTGTGTCTCCCAGACGCAGATCCAATGTCCGTCACCCTGCCATGGGGGTTAAGAGCATCACAGACTAGGCACTGCACACCTAGAACTGCACAGTGGCCAGACATGCCAAAGGAACTGAAACTGTTTGGAAAAGAACTAAAGTTTAAGCATGGTTGATACATCAGAGTATATAACGTAATCAAACTTTATGAATTCAGTAAGAGTAAGAAATATATAATACTATATTATATAGAGAGTATCCATACTAGGAGAGCTCTAACCCCACTCTAACAGGACCACTGTAGATAGCGCACTCCATGCTAAATCATTCCTGGTTTAATAGTCACTTCAGAGACCACAAGACCAAGGCAGATGCTTAGTAACTTAATAGATATTTCCACTGTGCTTCATGCTTTCCAAACCCTCCTTGATTTATTTCCCTCTAACTGTCTCACCGCAAACAGTTCTGCTGTCATTACTTTTATTTTCTTTACTACCCTCTAACTTAGTTTGTTTAATGTAATCTCAGAACTTCCATCTCAAAACCTCTACTTCTAATTAAATACTTGTTAGATACAGAAAGTGTTTTGAAGGATTCATATGCAAGAGTATGAATTGAAAAAATTATTCTAAATGAACTACACTGTTCATTCTGAAAAAAGATATTTCAAATATGATTAATTTTCTCATAACTTTCTGATTTACAGTTTTTCTCATATTAAGCCTCAAGGGATTTTCTTTTGCCCCCGGATTACTGTTGTTGACTTGCTTTTGCTGTGACTACATATCTCTGCTTAGAGCACTAAACAGTCTGTCATCCCTTTCAGGCTCTGGTTGATTATGCATCTTCCCACAGAAGTGAGATGTAGTAGGAACAGAAATTTGGGTTGAGTTCCAATTCACGTTGGGTTACCCATGATCAAAGAGCTGACCTGACCTCTCAGAAAACCGTTCGCATTATTATAGCCTTTGCAGGATGTCCCAGGTTTATGCCTCTGCCTCAGCGTCCCATATGCTATGGGTTCTCCAAGCATCTTGATTAAACGATTCTGAGTCAGACAAGGAATTTCCCAACCAGTTATTTTTACTGTAAAGAAAGCCCTGGAGAGTTACAGATCTTTACAAAACAAAAAGCAACCATGAGACACACATCTCCACCCAGTGTTATCTTTGCCCTTTTTGTGATTTTTTAGCAGTAGGCAAACTTTGCCAATTTTACTTTCTTGAGCCTGATTTTCTGGTATGCGACAGTGGATGGTCCTTTTCTTTGCCAGCCTCAGGCTCTAACCCTTTGCACCATATGTTCAATGATGGGAAACACTTACCCTGTACCATTTGCATCTGGGACAAAAACTATCAGGTGGATCAATCATGTAGAACAATTCAGCACTGAAAAATTTTTGCTTGTTCCTTCCAACAGGTCTGAAGAGCATCCCTAGACCTAGGCAGGCTGCAGAATAGACTGGCCATGTCAAGATCAGAGTGGCTTTTCAATGCAGATTCTAAAATTGTCTCTAGATAGAATGATATTCAGAAAATAAAGGAGTTCACAGCTAGATTCAGATATATTCCACATCCTGTATGTGTCACACTTTTGGAAAAATCTTTTTTATTGTAGTTCAAGGCTAATATTGCGAAGATGATAAAAAACATTTGTTTTCTGCCAATAACTACATCAAAAGCACAGTAAAATATGGCAGTGATGCTACACTGTTAGTTGTCTTGCAGCAGATTTTCAGTAATGACATCAAAAGCAATGACAGTACTGTCACTTGTATGTCACAGTATATTTTTATAGAACTATGTATTTCATTCACAACCTGTATCTTTTTAGTAATGAATAATAAGCAACAGATTGTCAGAAAAATGAACAACAGGGCCTCAGTCTCTGTTTTCAGACTAACTCTTACAACCTTATTTGGGTTCTTAGATTTTCATAGAATGTAGAGGAAAAGGCTGTTTTTAGCTGTAATTTACGTTTGCAGGTGTGAAACGTACAGTTCAGAGACATTTCATTCCCTGTTTAAGGAGATGGAAGAGGACGTCTGTGTAAAAATCAGATTAACCTGGAGAACCAAACACGCTTGTGGCTTAGGTTCTAAATAAGCAATAGAAGAAATCTGTTTTAGTTTAAAGTTGCCCTACAAAATGTTTAGCTCATGTATACTTCATTTTGCCAAAGGAATTCCCCATTATTTATCATTAAACACTAACCAGTCCTAGCAGACATCTCTTAATAGACTGAGCCTTGCAAATATTGAGTCATATCTCTTGTATTGTGTCACATTCTTTTTCAAAGTTTTTTTTACTGGTTCATTATATTAAAATAGAAAACATATGGAGCCACAAAGTTCTTCAAGTTTCACTCCAATGCAGCTTCATAGGAAACAGTTACAAGCATATAAATTGTCCATTCTTTCCAGTATCAGGTAGCATTCGAGATTACATTTGCCAACAAACTAGCCTGGTTCCAGGTTTTCTAAATGTTAGAAGAAAAAAAAAAAAAGTCTATGGCCTGGTATCTTGCTGCATATTTCTGTATCCAGAGGCCAATGACCTTTCAGTTAATCCTGTTTCTAAATGCTATAAAGAATCATGGATAACCTACTGGTGGGAGTAAATGATACTGGTACAACTGATTTCTTCTACTGGAGGAAAAGCAAGCTAACTGCTTTTCAAAATGTGGCTTCTATAGGAAAAGGTTGTATTGGTTGTGATTCACTTGGGACTAATCCTACAAGAAATAACACGCTGGCATCTTCAGAGAAACAGTTATCTTCCCTGTAAAACATTCTCCTTAAACTTCTAAACACAAATACCATTTAAAGTCAGCTGCAGTGCTGAGAAAGGTGTAGCAGTCTATTAACATTTCTGGGTGCAAAACGGGAAAGAAAATCTGCCATTGCCTCGAGAAGCCAGCCAGCCCTCTGCTCTCACCAAACTGCATCTCGTCTGTAAGTTTGGGTCCACCAAAAGCTGTTCTTTGAGAGCAAAATTAAATGCTTCCTTCTTTCTTGTCTGCACTAATATGAAACCAGCTACATTTCTTTTAAACTCATGCCTCCTCCATTAACAAGTGACTCATGAACAAATACTATTACAATTTTTGCCTTTTAAACAGAACTTACTTTGGGTCTTCCTAGTTACAATACATTTGAAAAACATTCTGATTTTTGTTTTGGCTTTTTTGTTGTTGTGTTTTCTCATGGTTGCTGTTGGTTAGAAAGGAGATTGCAAGAACTCTGTTTTCTTGAAAAAGCAGAATTGCTTAGGCATTATCCAAATATTCAGGTCTCAGGGCAGGAAGGATCTGGGACTCCAACACGTGTCATCAGAAATGAAGACAGCCTACACATGATTTGAAAAAGGACTAAGAATAATTACTCTTATGTTTTCTCTTGAAGAAGCAACAAAAATATCATAGCACTGTCTGCTCACTGACTGTAACTCACTCTTCAGAAGTGACATGGAGGCTCCTGGAGTGCCATGGGTCAGCCACTGTGTGCACTTGAACTGGATGCCATAAAATGATACAGCTACTGCAGCTGACATAGACCTCAGAATACTTCAGATTTTATGTAGCCTTATCACTTTTTGTAACCTGGAGCATGCTTGCAGGATGCTTTCTGCTTTTCCCATTAGCTGTCTGCCTTCGCTTGCCTCTTCGGCTTTGTTTTTCCTGCATTTGCACTATAAACAGTTCTCCCATGTTTAAGTTTTTATTTTCCATTACCTTTTACTCTTGATTGGGTGTTGTAACCTCATCTCAAAAAGTCTTTTTCAAAACCTCTGCTTTTTATTGTAATGGACCCAGTCAAACATTTCTGAATTTTGGAATGGCTCAGGATTCAGACCATGATACAGAACTGTTATTTCCTAGCTACCCCCTCCTAGTAAAAAGGATTGAAACTTTGGGTAACGATTCAATTCTATATTCGGTGCTGCTCAGGCTATGTGTTTGGGCCAGTACTTTTGCGTGCCTTATACCAAGAGACGCTTGCTTTGCCAAAGATAATTGTAATTATTTGCTGAACTGCTTTTATTCATCAATGCGCTAAGACACTATATAAATAAATAAGCAGGCTTTATCATAGTACAGTAAATCTTAAATAAACGATCTATTTTGCCATGTGTTGATGATTAATGAATGGCTGTCTCTGGCAAACTAATCAACTGTAGCTCCAGGCATGGGACAGCATAGATTTCCAAAAAAATAGTAACAGCTCCCCTTATACATGCTTCAGACAGCTGCCATACATTGCAGTTTCCATGAAAAACAGGAATTTGGACTTGGATGAGTTGATTTTTATTTTATAGCTTAGAGCTTATAGCTCATATAAATTTTGCACACATTCCTCAGTGGCACAGGCCTCCCTCATATAAAAACAGATACAGCCTTGTGTTCATACAGTGTGTCAGTGTTAGATTTAAAAAAAAAAAAATAGTATCCCGCAGTGGTTGAAAAGGAGCCCCCCTTGCTTCATTAATTTTGTCCCTTTTCCACCCCTCCCCGCTTCCCCTTTCCTGCTGTGGTGGTGCAAGCATTACAGCTGTGCATGTCTGCCTCTTTTGTAACCATCTTCAGCGTTTCCACTTTGGGGAAAAAAAACCCAAACCCTGTAGTAGCATTACTGGCGGATAAGAGATGACTTTAATTTGGATTTGTTTCTGGTATTGTCTAGATGCCGTATCGTAATTGTTACAGAGCTTAGGAGGTTGGCCAGCAGGTAGAAAGGCTACCTTGCTGCGGCTGGGACACACCAGATGAGGCTGGACCTCCCGACGAGGCTGGGAGATGCAGAGCTGGCTCTTCCCCAGCGAGCACATGAGCACGCGCAGCCCCGGGGAGCGTTCTGGAGCGGGAGAGCCAGCGAGGGGGAGGCCGGGGGAGGCGGGTGCTCCGCGCAGCCAGGATCGGGCTGACAGCCAAGGCGTAGAAGTGATGGAAAGAAAGAGACGTTCAAAAGACTGAAAGTGGTGGGTTTTCTTCAGCTCAGGAAGGCAATGGAAGTTGCTGGACTCATACTGCCTGGAAACGAGGGAGAGGAGAGAGTTGCTCTTCAACTTCTCTCTAGGCTGGCTCACTCAGCAGGCCTGATTTACTCCTATTTCTGTGCCAGTTTGCTCTAGTTCATTGTTTTTGTGCTCTAATGCTGCAAGGGGGCTGGGGGAGATCAGAGGGGTCATGCCATTCTCTTCTGGTTCAGCTATCACAAAAGCTGCAAAACACAGCCTTGGGGTGAGCTCGGGGCCGGTGCAGGTAACAGCAAGGCTCTGTAACACTGCCCCTTGCACATTCAGTTGAGTTTCAGAAACAATACACCTTTTAAAAGACGTGGGTGACAGAAGATAACTGCAAGCGGAGAGGTTAGCCAAAAAGAAAGCAGGTGGTGTACCAGGAAAGGGTAAAAAGAGATAGGGACCAGCACAGTTACTACAGCTTTCCTGTACAGCTATTCTGGAGACTCTGTGATATCTTTTGGTGCAACTGTTTTATTTTTCTTGTTTGATATTATGTTTTCTTCAAAACCCAACGCTATTATTCCAATGGCATCGCCTACTCAGTCCCAAAGATCCATGCTTTAGGCTCCCGAGACAAGACAGACGCTGACACGCTAGAGCAAGTGCAGGCGAGGGGCACCACGCTGAAGGGCCGAGCACGCCATGTGTGAAGAGACGCTGAAAGAGTCTTTGCTCAGTCACGAGGAAAGGCGCGGGCTGGGGGAGACCTTATTGCCACCGGTAACTCTGATCAGAGGATACAGAAGAGAAGACACGCCCCGACTTTTCTCAAAGGGGCACTGACAGGACAAGTAACATACATAAAGTTCTGACTACATACAAGGAAACTATTTTCTAATCGGGAGGCTGGTCAAACACTTGAACAGGATCCCAGAGAGGCTGTGCAATCTTTATCCCTAGAGATATTCAGAACTCAGCTGGCAAAGCCATGAACCACCTGGTCTAGTTGGATCCATTTAGAGCAAGACCAGGATTAAACAATCTCTGGAGGCCTCTTCCAACCTAATTTATTCTGTGACTCTACGGCCTAACCAATTTTTTTTTAATTTCCACAACACCTCTTATAATATCAATAGCTTCAGTTAAAACAAAGAAATTTTTGCTCATTAAACAGCTTTTAGTATCCTTTGTAGAAACAGCTTCTGTAAATTTTTTTTCTTACTTTTGTAATTTTTTTTTTTTTGAACTCTTGTTGCAGACAAGCTGTTTTGAAATACACAGCCCAAGTGGAGAAACAAGAACATAATGATGCTGACCCTCCTTCCTGGCTTGGATATGACCGGGATGGTAACATATTCACCTTCACCAAAAACCACACATCAGAGCCCGAATAAACAAATTCTTCAAAATGAAAGATGAAGAAATTGCACAACATCATCTACAGTTCAAGGGTTTTTCACTAGAGCATGAAAAGAACACTATATTATTTTTCTTAAAACTAATCATACTTCAATAAAAGGCTGTTTGTTGAATTAATAAGGAAGCATTGCGAATCTTTCTCGCAGGAGCGTGTACGCCTTCAAGCAAGACAGCCGCACTGAAACAACATGGCTAACCTTCAGCTGTTGATGCAAGCTGTCCTCATCTTTCAACAATAAGTTGTTGTTGTAGTCCCATGCAGAGTAATCAATAAATAAGTCTGCGTGTGTCTGGGGTTCTTGTTTGCCATGAAGGTCCTCTCCAGGACATAAACACTCTGGCTTCCCACAGAACCTCACACTTGACGTGGCTGGTACTCATTAACTACAGTTTTTCTTGAGCAATGAACAACAGGGAATAGGTAGTGACGATTGATTCCTTAATACACAACTACACGCGCACGTTTAAGCACAGTTCTCTATTTCTCAGTGGTCACTTGTGCACCCAGAGCCCTAAATCTCATAAAAGCCTCTCAGGCTAAGTTCAACTCGCTAAGGGAGCTGATGTTTACATTTGCAGATCTGAACTGCAGGCTAGCTGGCAGCTGACAGAGTCAGGAGAATCAAATGAAAAGGAGCACAGATGAGAAAAGTGTTAAAGGATAAATTTTCTCCAGTTACAAGAACATGTCTTCTCATCAAATGGGAAAAAAAAAATAAAAGCGCACATGTAGGATTTGCCATTCAAATCCTAATTACTGATAACCCACTAATCTTTCCTTGTCTACAGAAAAATATAAAGTTTCACTTCACTATAGCAGAACAAGACATTACTCAAACGCCTTTCGGGAAACTCCCAAAGATTTGTCTGTCTTTGGCTCATTCTTGATCTTTGTGTTAAAGTTGTAGCTGGTCTCAACATTTATTAGCTTGGCAAGAATCAGAGTAGCTTTAGTGGTAACACAATTTTTCTGATGGCTCATTTAAACTTTTTTAAGCAAGTAACTACCAATCCTAATGTTTAATTCCAGCTGGGTTTAGAATATGAATGCCTTAGCTTGCTTACTTTTGAACATGGAAGAAATAACATGTTTTCTTACTATGCTCCCTAAAATTGCTGATGCAGCAGTTCCAAAAGGCACGACCTTAATCACAGAGGCTGACAGGCTTTGTAGTCCGGGTGAATAATGGAACCATTAAATGGACTCTATTTTATGAAATATCTACTACACTGTTTTTATTTTCAATGCAGTGGTGCTTCTTTCACTTTGTCTGCAGCAGTGCACAGAAATCATTAGTTTCAAAAATTTTTCAGGAAATTAAAACCATTACACATTTATTAATTTTGTATCTTTTAAGATTATAATAATATTTACTAATAACTAGTAATATCTAGTAACATAATATTGCTTTTAGTAATAATATTAGTAATGTTTTATATATTAGTGTTTATATTAAAAATACATAAAATTTGCCATACACATCAGTGCCCACCTCATCCAAACAAACAGTACACACAACAGCAAACAGAATGTGGAGTTTTTAACCACCCTGGATTACATTAAAAACGCTGTCTTGTCTATTGAAGTCCATTAGCCAGGGGCAATTATACCTCTTCGGGAATTCTGTGGGAAAAGTGAATTTTGTGATGTACCATTATGATCTAAAGTACATATACACAACTTAAAACCTGAGCTGACACTCTGAACTCTTCTTTGCTACTCTCCATCCACTCAGTTGGCAGGAGCTCTTACATTTCAGTTTTAAAACACAAATTTCCATCCTTCTTTTATAAGGGCATATATATATATATATATATGGAAAGGCTTTTAAAAGCTCCATTTACTTTACTGTGCATTTGTATTACGGTAACACAAAATCCTCCACAAAAATCATGTACGCCCTTGTGCAGGGCTTACACGTTTCCCTCATCTCCCTCCTCTGCCTTTCTGCCTCAAAGAGCTTACAGTCCCGTCATGCACGGCTGACGGTAAGTCACTGGAAGTATAGCAAATAAACAGATTACAGCTCTCACTTATTGCGCCAATACTTCCACGCCTTTGTAGCTTTTACTTTAGGGGAATGCTCATGTGGACTCTTATCTGAAGTCCAGTTGGTGGAGTGTTCCTCCTTGAAATCAGCCAGACCCATTGCATTTTTGAGTGTTTATTTTACAAGCTTTTCTTTGCAGACAAACAGTGGTAGACATAGCTCATGTTCTTATTTCTATCCACAAATAAGTGGTTCAAGATGACATGGAACAAGTTCTGTCATTTCATAGAAGTAGTTTTACACATACAGTACCCATTGACAAGGCAGAAACTGCTTAGGGGTCAAACACCCTAAGCAGAAGACCAAATAAGAACTACAGTTCTGGAAGTGGTTTTATCCTATCCATGACACAAATAATTTGGTTGAAGAAAACTCTCTGCATTTTGCATAAACCAGTAGAATTCCCACAGTACTGTGACATTTCATTTAAAAATAGAAAACAGCTTGCAGAGCACGTTATCTTGGAAGTAAACATTCATATTTTCAAATACCAGATGTGGAAAATACTTTTTATTTTTCAATGACAACTCCAAACTTTTGTTTGAAAGTTATCAGCTTTTAAATTGACGTGGTAAGTAGGTCAAGTTATACAAATTCTGAATATGTAAGATCTTGTCGTTCCTAAAAGGCACTAAAAGTAAACCAGACCTGTTAAGCACCAGCCACTGTCACAGGCAAATCTTGGGTTAAAACGCCCTCGTTTTTAATATTGTTTCTCTCATATTATGAATATGCATCAAGAAAGTTTTATAATTTTACAGAAATGTTCCTTTACAATTTCTTGATTTAATCTCTTTGGCCTCTTTCACCTTTAAGAACTCTTCAGCTTGACAGACTGGATCCAGCTTTGGCTTTTAAGACACACTTTGCCATTTTGTGTGTCAGCCTTAATCCATTTGTCTGTTTCATTCCTTTGATTCATGTGACCTGGAAAAGAGAGTTCTGTTTAGTTTAATTTGACACACAGTAAATATATCATCTTCACATTGCTGCTTTTTTTTTTTTTTTAAGCTCCCTGGAAATACTTATAAGACTTCTATTTGGTAGAATTTATATATTTTTAACACGGGCTTCTGACATTTCATTCTTGATAGAGTTTTTTTCATTAATCTCATTTCCCCATAATATGTTATTACAATAAAGTTGTGGGTTTTATTATATAGTACCGTAGTTTTTATTATGGGCTAGGAAATACATCTACATTAGACATTAATCTGGCTAAGTAACTTGAAAAGTTTCCATGTTTACAATAAAGATGAAAAAGAGACATGGGTAAGACCTGATTTTCCAGATGACCAAACATGTTGCTACTATTACTGCTTTCTTATGATAATGGATAAAACCCAAACACCCACACCCTGAGATGTCTGTCTTCTTACATGTTTCACAGAAACTTAGTATGCATGGTCATGCTCTGAAAAGCTCACTGTATAACACAGGAGAAAGTTCAACTTACACTCATTTTACAATTAAGAAACTGAGGCCAAGAAAGAATAAGTGACCTTCTAAACTTATACAGAAGATTTATGACCAAATTGGGAATTAAACTGGGATCTTTCAAGTCCCAAATCAGTGCCTTTATCACAAGATCAACCTTCACACTTGTTTATCTTTACAAAATATCTTTTATTATTACTTTAGCATTTATGTGACCAAGTGAGTTCTAAGTTTAGAACTAATGTGAGCCTGGAATAGCACGAGGGATGGCAGGGAAGCAGATTCTGAAGCAACTTTGCAAACATGCTCTGCTCTGACCTGTTAACACAGCTGAAGTTAAACTTTGGCCACGTCAAAAACAGTGGCAAAACTCCAACTGACATCACTGCATCGGTTTCCACAACTCAAGCCTATGTGTCAGAACTTTTCAACGGCATTTCAGCGCTTTGGTACTTCTAAGTGGGATTAATTGAAGGTTACGGGCCAAACCCACACCAATTCACAAGTAGGTTGAGGTACTGTTTAGAAGTACGGGATTTTCAGAGGAGTCGAACACTGATGGAGTTCTCCCACTGAACGAAGAGGTATTTCGGTGTCCTTTGTTATCAGACTACAACATGCCTTCAAGGATCTCCATGTGGATGTCCTAGTACAATTTCTGCACTCCTGATTGCTCCAGGCAGCAGCAGTCTCAGTATCATTCCTACTGTAAGGCAGAATCTACAGTACTGCTCCCCATCTCATTATGGACTTAAATCTATGATGATCATCACAAAGTTGGACAAACGTGTTGTACGTGAAAACTGTTAAAATCTGAAATTTCCGCTCCTCAGAAAGCTTTCCTGAATAATCAGTTTGTAATAGTATTGTATTAGAGAATACAGAACAGAAATTAAAACAAAACCTATCTTTTAAGTAGAGGTAGCCCTTAAAACATTAGATCAGTCTGAATTTTAAACAGAAAATAGCCTCCAGGTGTCAAAAAATGAACAACAAAGAAGTATAAAGGAAAATTTCAGTTGATCCCTTAACAGAGTTGTAGTGGCCTGAAAATACAGCTTTTTTCCTAAAGAGAGAGGACACAATAAATGTAGGGTGGAGATATATTTCCATAAAGTGCGTATTGGAGTGCTTGGTCCCAGTTCCCTTCTCTCATGTTTTTGTCACTGTGGCTTGTGCTTGCATACAAGGAACAAACACTGGAGCACAGAATCAGCCCTGTAAATGAACAGTTTCATGCACTGCTTACACCCTGCTACGCTTTTTAGCAAAAGTTGAAGAGTTTTAAACACAGAAACAAATTAACAAGAGCTGTATTAAAGCTCAGTTGTTGTCTGAGCTCTGTTTCTCATTTTGCATTTGCTATGTGAACTTAGAAAAATGTTTTGTTCCTTATGCTTCTTTTGGAGATTTGCCTGTGAAGGGAATGCAGAAAATATCAAACTGCCCGCAGGAAAGTGAGTGTCAAGTTCCACTCCCTAGGGACGAAGATCTTCAAACTATTTTAAGGTT